TATCATAAAATAATAAATTAGAGGAAAACTTATTTAAAGACAAAGAAATAGTTAAAAGTTTAAGAAACACTTTTGGGTTGATTTTTTCATAATTTTATTTTTCGGAGTTTAGATTTTTATGCTTTAGAAACTATTGAAAGGAAGCATTAAAATAAAAAGGAAAATAGAACAAATATAGAAAAAGATTGTAAAATAATAAAATTTATTGCAAAATTATATCTTATAAAATAATCAATTAAAAAACTCATATTTAAAGACAAAGAAAATGTTAAAAGTTTAAGAGCCACTTTTGGTTATATTTTCCATAATTTTAATTCGAAGGATAGATTTTTATGCTTAAGCTTTTCAAATGTCCAATTAAGAATTAAAGATTGAATTTTGATTCGAAATTTTCAGTGGCCATCAATGTAATTGGATAACAATTTCAAAATTGCATTTATTGGGCTCTTCCGATTAAGTTCCCTTTAATTGTGTCCTACAATACAATACCCCGTTCGGTGATAAGAGATTAATTCTAAATAATGAAATGGACATCGAATATCATCATTTTTAAAAGGGATACATACTTTTTTGGGTTTGGTTCCTCTTCTATTGAGCTTATGATCTCGTCACTTGGGTAAAAAAAGTTTTTGTCATAGGAGTTATTTTTAAAACAAATCCTGGGGAGAATATCCGAGACAAAAAACAAGGTAACTGATGAGGATTGGTGGCTCTTTCCAAAACCTAGGTATTCCCTGCCTTACCCCCTGGTAAACATTATCATCGTTCTCCACTAATAAACAAACATAGTTTTTATAAAAAACAACAATAATGGGATTAAGCCTGACTATTTTGCAACAACAAGATACTTTTTTTAATGAGACCGTAAATTTTTCCTGGAAGGTTCCATTTTATATAATTGAGTCACTATTCTGCATTTATATACAATTTTACTTTCGCATATCCTGATATCCATGGTAGTATAAATCTGCTATGAAGATGGAATAGCTCGGTATACTATTTCTCGGAAATAAGCGTTAGTTCTCGGATTTATTCATTTTAAAAATTTGCCATGAAAACATTGAAATATTAAAAAAAGTTTAAATTATTAGCATTATTTGTACCTACAGGGTGAGATAAAAAAAACTGCAACAAACTTCAGACTGCTGTCATTTCTTAGCCACTCGTCCGGCAGCTGTTGAAATTATTCCAGTGACAGCTCATTATATTGTTTACAAGCGTACAAAAGCATTTTGGTGAGAATTTACGAGAAAAAAGTTATTCGTGATCTAATTTAAGCGCGATAGTGTGATTTCTTTATATTTGGCTGGAAAACCACAAGTGGCTATCGTTAGAGCACTCCAGCATTTAAATGTGAATAAATCTTTTTTGTCTCGTACCATCGCTCGTTACCGTGATACAGGTAGGGTAGCCCGACATGAAGGAAGTGGACGGAAGAAAACAGCAACTTCAGCAGAAATGGTTCGAAAAGTAAAGAAGCGACTTCATCGAAACCGCGTCGCAGCGTCCAAAAAATGGCTCGTGAGCAGAACATATCGCAATATTCCATTCGGCAAATATTGAAAAATGAGCTCGGGTGAAGCAATTGAAAATATAAAAAAAAATTCAAGAACTTACCCCGCAACAGAAAGAAAATAGACTCACAAGAGCTAAAGAGTTGCTTTACTTGGCCGAAAGTGGTGAACTGCCGAATTTGGTTTTCTCCGATGAGAAAACATTCGTTGTCCAGCAGTTTGTAAACAAACAAAATGATCGTGTTTACTTGCCAAAGAGGTCAGCTGAAAATGTGCACCTTCAGTTGGCCATGGTGATGGTGTGGGCCGCCATAACTGCCGATGGTCGCTCTCCGTTCGTATTAATCGACCGTGTCATCAGAATAAATGCCGAATATTATCGCGAAAATATTCTGGATGGTGTATTAAAGCCTTGGACACGCAAACATTTTGGCCGCAGATCTTGAACATTCCAGCAGGCCTCAGCGCCATCGCACTCAGCACGCGACATCCAAGAATGGTTACAAAATGGACTATTGTGTCTGGAGTATTTTGGAAAGCAAGGTTGGCACTAAAAAACACCAAAGTGTCGATCACCTCAAGCAAGCGCTTCGCCGGGAATGGGCCAAAATACCGCAGAGCAACATTCGGGCAACGTGTGACGGTTTCATTGGTCGTTTGAGGGCCATAATTCGTGGCAAAGGTGACCAATTCGCACAAATCTAAACGTATTCCAAAAATTTGATGCTATTTCCGACATTTTTTGCTTTCATTTGATAAAATTAAAAAAAAAAATTAAAAATTGTGGCGTTTTCCCTTGTTGCAGTTTTTTTATCTCACCCTGTATTATAAATAAGTTTCCAAAGTAAAAAATATTACATTTTCGAATAGTGTTGGCGTTCTTTGCAGTTTTTTCATTATTTCCAAATAGTCAACATTCGGCCTTAGTACGGTTGTCGCCGTCGTCGCAAAATGAAGTCGATTTTTGAGAATATCTGTCGCCGTAAAAAATTGTGACGACATTGTATTTTTTAGTCGAAGTTGATATTGTAACCATTTTGAATTTTATATTTGACCATAAAAATAACAACAGCAAAATAATTTGAAATGTTGGTTTCCGAATTGAGAAAACAACATGTTTGGCAAAAGGGTTTACCAAAGGTCATATTTCAGCTAATTTTAAATCATATTGGGAATCCCTTGCTACAAAATTAAATGTAAACGGACCTCTGATTAAAGACTCCGATGACTGGAAAAAATTATGTTAAAATTAAAATTATTTTAATATGTTTTCATTAGTTAGTTTTCTAAAGTTCTTCTAGGTTTGAAAAGATTTAAAATTTAAACTAAAAAAATGTGCACAATCAGGGTGAAGGCAGCAAATGACTATGTCGCTTTGGGAGGAGTCCTTCCCGAATGTAATGCAGTTTCAAAAGTTACTGAATCCAGCAGGTCGTGCACATGGAGTAGAAAATACGAAAAACATAAGTGTAACAGACGTTATACATCATGAAAATGAGCCAGTGGACAATGCTGATGACGAGACTGATGTAACTGCTATTGAAGCTTCTCGATCGCCCAGAAAAAAAAAATGGTTAAAAGTCATCCAGAAAGAAGAAACTATTGAACTCTTGAAAGAACAGTATAAACTTTTGGAACAACAGGCAATTTTTTTATTTTTATTTATTATATATATTTATATTTATTTTTTTTTTTTTGGTCAATAACAAGGGAGTGTTGTCAACGTTTTTTTTTTTTTTCAATTGTTGCCAACTTTTATTTTAAACTGTCATTGTCGCTTCTCTGCCATACCGTAATGCCATTTTTAAATCAAAGCGATGGCAAGGGCGAATTCCATATAAATTCGACGACGACTATTGATACGACAACCGTAACTGGACGATTATATAGAAACGATAACCGTAATTGGGCCGATTTATAATATAGAAACGATTTTATTTTATATTTTTTGTCAATAACAAGGGAGTGTTGCCAACATTTTTTAATTGTTGCCAACTTTCATTTTGAACTGTCGATGTCGCTTCTAGGCCTTACGTAATACTATTAAATCAAAGTTACGGCAAGGGCGACTTCCACATAAAGTCGACGACGACTATAGATACGACAACCGTAACTGGCCGATTATATAGAAACGATAACCGTAATTGGGCCGATTTTTAATATAGAAACGATATTATTTTATTTTATCTTTTTTTGTCAATAACAAGGGAGTGTTGCCAACATTTTTTAATTGTTGCCAACTTTTATTTTAAACTGTCGATGTCGCTTCTAGGCCTTACGTAATACTATTAAATCAAAGTTACGGCAAGGGCGACTTCCACATAAAGTCGACGACGACTATAGATAATTGGGCCGATTAATTCCAGTGATGTCTGATCATTTTTTTTATAAAAAAAGTATTCATGGTTTGGTTTACCAAAAATAATTTTGGATCAGACTCGTATGCTCGCCAGTCCCCTTAGTTTAGTATTTATTTGTCATATTCTCCTCAAGAGTCATTTCAAATAAGCCCCTTCATCAACACCGAAATAAAATCTGACCCTTTGGCAATATAATTACAATCCTCTGTTCATTAAAAAAAATATTTCTATTTTGCAATTTTAATAAAATAAACAAATTAAAAATAATAAAAAAAATCAGGTAAAGTTTTTTTTTTGTTGAACACTTTTTTATTTTTAAATTTTGGGGATTTCTTTTCAACTCTTTCTTTTTAGAATTGTTTATTTTTTTTGTTTGTTTTAGTTTTGATGCAGTTGTTGTTGTGAAGAAAATTCCATTTGGGGATTGGCATAAAGAAGCTTTTTTCTTGTTTTTGTTCTTGTGTTTGTTGTGAATATGAAATTATTGTGTATACGATGATGCTTGAAATTAAATTTATAGTTATTTATGTAAATGATGATTAATTATAACAATTAAAAAACACAGAAAAAATACACATACATATAGTTTGTTTTCATTTAATAATAATTCTTCTTTGCAAGTAAAAGAACGAAAAAAAACAAAAAATAAAAAAACAAATGTTTAAGCTAAAAAAATTGTAATTTTAATAATATAAAAATATTATTTGGGATTTTTTTCATGTTTTACAGAGAAACAAATGTTGTTTTTATTATTTAATAAAATATAAAATATTTTCTTTTTGTATATAGCAATAATTAATTAATAGGTTTTGTTTTTAACTTAATAAAACTTAGTATTTAAGCAAAAAAAAAAAACGACATTAAGCTACAAAAAAGTCCATAATTTTGTATAGTGTTGTTACATTTTGACTTATTATTAATAATAGTAATAATAATAATAAAAATAATATAAACAAAACAAAAAATAGTAAATGTTGTTTTTATTATTTTCTGTTTTTTTTCCTTCATAATGATTGACCTTAGCCTAAAACAGACATAAAGAAAGTAAAATATATTTATAAAAAAAATCATCTTTGTTACAAATTTAAAAACAATAATAGTTTTTTCCTTTTTTTTCATTCTTATAATAAATGACTTAATGGCTATAAAAAAATACAAATTGCTTATAAATTGTTTAACTTTATAAACAGAAAAAAATGTATATTCTTTGTTTTAAATCTTTATATTTAATAAAATAAGCAAAGCGAAACAAATAATTATAATTTTGTGTGTGTGTGTGTTTTTCTTTTAAATATAAAAACAAGGTGGGAGTGGGTAACAACAAAGGGGAGTTATTCTTTTAAACAAATGGGAAAAGGGGTTGCTTAAGCCACTTTTATTTATGTATATATGTATATATATATAATTATTGTTTCTCTATAAAATAATAAAAACTTAGGAAAAAAGGTTTTCTCTTTTTTGTTTTTGTTGTGTCTAAAACTAATTAGGTTTATGTTTTAAAAAATATATATATGGTTTTCAGTCCTCAGGTAACAATGTCTCAAAAACAACAACGGTAACAGCTGTGGGTGTGTTGGTATTGCTGGCAATAGTAGTGGATGATGTTGGCGTGGCTGATGAGGGGTTGCTGGTTTTGGAATTCATTTGTTTCAAAACTGTGCTGCCCGTTAGGGGCTGGCTCAGGGTGGCCTTTAAAATGTTGCTATTAAAATTCGAACTCTTTGGGGCCTTGGAGGTTTTATTTAAGTTCAAGCAAGGACTAGCAGGAATGGGGGTAGTGCTCAATGCGGTGGATGATGATGATAGAGAAGTTGGTATTGTGGCCAAAGTTTTAGATGCTGTAATGGTAGATGCGGTTTGTGCCATGCTCATTGGTTTACCAAGAGATGGCACGGCAGTCCTTAACAGTCCTCCCATAGAACAGGAGGTAGCTGTTTGTAATGAAGATGCAAATGTTGTGCTATTAGAGGAGGAATTGGAGGAGGAGGGAGGTGGGGTGGCAAAACATGTGGGCCGGGATTTAAGATCCTCCTTTTGGGCCACATCTTCTGTTTGGGTCTGGCTGGTGACCAGTTGAGGTTTGATGCAGGGGATTTTAATGGATGTTTGTAGACTACTATTGCTCGCGTTGTTGCTGTTGCTGTTGCTGCTGCTGTTGTTTTGTTGTTGAACACTGTTGCTGTTGGTATTGTGATTAGTTTTTTGTATTATAGAAGAAGCCGCCTGATTGTTGTTGTTGTTGTTATTATTACTCATCTTAGTGTTGTTATCAATTATAGATAAATTAATGTTGTTGTTGTTGCTGCTGTTTTTCATATTAGAACCTAAAAAACTAGTTAAATTATTATGATTTGTTGTAATTGCAGTAGATGGTGTTGGTGTTGATGCCGTGGCTGCTGATGTTGATGAAATATTTAAGGTGGCCAAACCAGTAGCCATAGCTGCAGTTGTGGGCATACAACTACTATTGGCTGGTATTACTGTTGTTGCTGCCGCTGCTGCTGCAGTAGTTAGAGGCGTCAATGAAATGCTGTTGCTGGAGGCAGTGGTGTTTGGTAGAGAAGTTACATTGGCAAAATTCAATTTCTTAAAAGGCAGGGTACACATTTTCCGGGGCGCCACTTGGGGCACAACTAAAATATGCTTAGCTGCGGATGCGGATAAGTCTTGTTGCTGTTGTTGCTGCTGCTGCTGTTGTTGTTTTTGTTGTTCACGTTGTGTTGTTATTTCGCTAAGGGTTGCCAATGTAACTGCAGTCTTTAGAACTTGATCGGGTGTACGAACATGTAAAGTTTTAGCTGATGCCAATGACGGCGATGATGATAATGATGATGACATTGTGGATGCTGTTGAGACCGTAGACGTTGCTAATTGTAATGATGAGGCAACATTTAATGTTGCTGGACGTTTGGACATCAATGCTGTTTGTAAAATTGATGTGTAAGTTGTTGTTGCTGGTGGTGGGGGTGGTGGCCCAGAAGTATCTGTTTCCATTTCCTCCTCCATTGCTGTTGCCTTGGCCAAACACAGCAACGATTCCCTTTGTTGTTGTTGCTGCTGGTGTTTTGGATTTGGAGATTTCTCCCGCTCTCCCTCAGCATCATCGTTATATAAAAGTCTTTTATTTTCTTCACTATAATAGGCATAGGATTTCAGTAGAACATTCGGTGCCAGATGTGTCGTAGGAGATTTTGCTGACACCGTCTTACTCGTTCCCATATCTCTTAAATCCTGCGCCGGCGGCATACGAGCTATTTGCTCGGCTGCTGCCGTTAAAGTTGCCAAGGTATTGGCTGCCCCTGTTAACAGAGAAGTCTTTAAAATCGATGTTGGTTCCAACAACTGAGGCACTGGTTTCAAATGCACCGCATTACTTTCGTCTGTTTCCATTTTTTCCATCACATTATCTCCCTCTTCTTCGTCATTTTCTGCCGCTTCGCTTGTATCCATCATCTCATATTCATCATAATCTCTTTCGATTTTAATCTGTGGCATTTCCACAATGGGCAAACATTTGAATTGATACTCTTTATTCGTCTCTGGCAAAGTAGGACCTTGCGTCGATGCTTGCGTTTCATTTCGTAGCCGTTTTGTTTCGGCATTAAGCTCTGGTTCCCGGTTTTCATTGTGTTCATTTGTTCTTGTTGTTGTTGTTGCTGTTGTTGTCGGTATAATGGAATAAGGCGGTTTTTGCTCGGCAATTGTCAATAGACCACGTTGAAGCATTTGCTACCTTATACTGGCGGAGTTCAGAACAAATGGAACGTAGAACATCTTACTTTCCAATAATAGACTAGCAGCAGCTTGGATCTGGAAATATTAAAAAGAAAAAAAAAAACAATTAAAATGGGATCAAGAAAGTAAAAAATGTCTGTTATTTATAACAGTTATTTTATAAGTGTTATACTGGAGAAATATTGTTATATTCTTCTTCTTTACATTATTTTAATAGAGAGCTCAATATGCCAGATTAATACATTAGATGTATAACAGTTAATAGTAAGTGTTATACCGACGTAAACTCCTATTATCCTAAACAAATAAAAAAGCTGCTACGTTCGGCCGGGTTGAATTTTTAATACCCTCCACCATTTGGAGGGAACTTGAAAATTTTCATAAAATTTCCGGAAACTACCACTTAGATGAAAACTGTTATATGGAGACTATACGAAGACGCGGGCTATACGAATACGTGGACTAGCATAGACAATTTTCTGTCAAAGGCTGTAGTACCCATTACGAACTTAAAATACGAAATCTGAAATAATTCCGGTAAATAATAATCATCAAAATACCGAATATCGGGAGGTATTGTTATATGGGGGCTATACGAAGACGTGGACCTGCATACAAATATATTTTTGCACAGGCTGTAGCACCCGTAACCAACTTCGAATACGAAATTTGAAACAATTCCGGTAAATAATGTCGCTGTAATCATGAAAATGCCGAAAATCGGGAGGTACCGTTACATGGAGACTATGCGAAGAAGTGGACCTATTTACGAAATTTTTTGTCATAGGCTATAGTACCTATTACGAGCTTCAGGTACCAAATTTGAAATAATTCCGGTAAATAATGTCGCTGAAATCAACAAAATACCGAATATCGACACCTACCGTTAAATGGGGGCTATGCGACGACCTGGACCTACATACAAAAAATTTTGTCGTAGGATTTAATAAACATTACGAACCTTAAATATGAAATTTGAAATAATTCCGGTAAATAATGTCGCTAAAATCATCAAAATACCGAATATCGGGAGCTACCGTTATATGGGGGCTATACGAAGACGTGAACCCACATACAAAAATTTTTGTCACAGGCTGTAGTACCCATTACGAACTTCAAACACCAAATTTGAAACGATTCCGGTGAATAATGTCGCTAAAATCATCAAAATACCGAATATCGGGAGGTACTGTTATATGGGGGCTATACGAAGACGTGGACTTGCAAGAACAATTTTCTTTTTCAGGCTGTAGTATCCATTTCGAAATTCAAATACCAAATTTAAAATAATTCCGGTAAATAATGTCTCTGAAATCATGAAAATACCGAATATCGGGAGGTACCGTTATATGGAGACTACACGAAGACGTGGACGTGCAAGAAAAATTTTCTGTCTTAGGCTGTAGTACCCATTACGAATTTTAAATATGAAATATCAAATAATTCCGGTAAATAATGTCTCTGAAATCAGGAAAATACCGAATATCGGAAGGTATCTTTATGTGGGGGCTACACGAAGACGTGGACCTGCATACGAAATTTTTTTCCAAAGGTTGTAGTAACCATTAAGATCTCCCAATACGACAATTGAAACAATTTCGTTAAATAATGTCGCTAAAATCATCAAAATACCGAATATAGGGAGTACCGTCATATGGGGGCTATTCGAATACGTGGACTAGCACAGACAATTTTCAGCCATAGGATGTAGTACCTATTACGAACTTTAAATACGAAAATTGAAATAATAAATAATGCCGCTAAAATCATGAAAATACCGAATATCGGAAGGTATCGTTATATGCAGACTATACGAAGACGTGGACCTGCAGAGACAATTTTCTACCATAGGTTGTAGTACCCATTGCGAACCTCAAATACCAAATTTGAAATAATTCCGGTAAATAATGTCTCTGAAATCATGAAAATACCGAATATAAAGAGGTACCATTACATGGGGGCTATACGAAGACGTGGACCTGCAAGAAAAATTTTCTGTCTTAGGCTGTAGTACCCATTGCGAACCTCAAATACCAAATTTGAAATAATTCCGGTAAATAATGTCGCTAAAATCATCAGAATACCGAATATCGGGAGGTACCGTTATATGGAGAATATACGAAGACGTGGACCTGCAGAGACAATTTCCTGTCATAGGCTGTAGTACCCATTATGAATTTCAAATACCAAATTTGAAATTATTCCGGTAAATAATGTCTCTGAAATCATGAAAATACCGAATGTCGAGACGTACCGTTATATGGGGGCTATACGAAAACGTGGATCTACATGGCTCATTCAAGAGCTTAACCTGCTTACTGGTAAGCTATGCATGTGCGCAAAATCTTAGCCTTCTATTCCAATTCGTTCGAAAGATAGCGTGGTTACAACAGACAGACGGATAGACAGACGGACATCGCTAGATCGTCCTAGAATTATCCAGATCGCTATCCAGAATATATATACTTTGTAGGGTCTATTATAAATATTTCGAGGAGGGTATAAAAACCAAAACATTTAGCCTTAGCTATATTTCTCTTTGTAACATTTAACCTACTCCATTAATCTGGCATATTTCTCTCTCTCTCTCTCTCCGATCATATCGTATTACTCACCTCTGGTATATGAGACAACAACTCATTAAGGCGGGCTTGTGGATTCTGGGGCGATGAATGCTGTAAAAATGTACGCAATACTTGTATATAACGTTCCTGTATACTTTCCAATTCCACTTCTGCTAAAGTCATGAACGGCCACAGAAAATATATAAAAAAGAGAAATAGATTAATAAAATGTTGCTGCCGCTCTCTCTCACTCTCTCTCTCTCTCTCTGTCTATCTTACGGTCACAACTTACCTTTGTTCAGCAATATGTAGACCTTGAGGCAAACATATTCCTCCATTTTCAATTTGATTCGTCTAAACATTATCGTTATCTGCGTCATTTTATCCACCATATGACCCACATCCAATTTCAGCTGTTCCATGGCAATGGGCTGGCCCATCAGAGTGGTCAGACACGTTTGCAACGTGCTCAAATGGGCATTGACTTCGGCCACAAATTCGGGATCGTCTTTGTGTACTAAGGCAGGATGTGCGGTTATGTGCGGAGGTGATGTCGACGAGGCATGATTATTGTGATTGTGTTGTGTGGGCGAAGAGGAGGACGACGATGCTGAGGAATTCGATGATGCCGAACTACTGCTAGCCGAGGTGTTTGAATGGGCCGACGACGACGATGTTGTGTTTGCGGCCGCATTCGTGTGACGTTTGCCGTGCAACGCCTGATAGGCTGCTGTGGTCAGTATGAGAATCTCGTGCCATTTGTCGGTCAAAAGTTTGGTATGTATCTCGACTGGTATCTCCAGATAGAAGGGTAACTTTTTCGTCCACGACACCAGTTTGTGAACAATGGAGTCACCAATGTTGCAGAGCTTTTCGCTTATCTCAGACTTATCCTCCAAGAATTCGGAGAAGTGCGGCAGTGTGGCAATATCTTCCATGGCGTCACAGTCTATCAGAGTTTGGATCATGGACAGAGAATGCTCATATGAGATCTGGCGATCTTTGGAGGAGCTAACCGCTGAATCGAGCCGATGCCGCAGGTGAACAATCTCGCTAGGATTTGTGAGGGCAGTCTTTAGTATGGTTCCATTTACCAAATGCGAGGGTATTTTCATGGCAGTCTCTTGGGGCGTGGCAGGTCGTTGTGAAGCTGCTGAAGGCTGGTGGCCGGCGCCGGACATGTGGGGCGGCCCGGTCACAACAGAGGCAGAATGGCCGCCAGAATGATGATGTGATGTCTGCTGCTGGCCGGCATTGGCAAGCGGACTGTGCAGCGGACCACCGGGACCAGTCGCTGAGCCGTGCAGTGGATGGTGGGGCGATGACAAATGTGACGGAGGTGCTTGCTGCTGCTGTTGCTGCTGGGGTGGTGGTCCCAAGGCTGGCGATTGTTGTTGGCCTGGATGGTGCGGTGAATGCAAGGCCTGCTGTTCCTTGGACAGGAACATCGGCTTCATTTCACCGAGTAATTTGGTTTGTTGCTGGTGGGCTGCCGCCGCCACTGCGGCTGCGAATTGTTGCTGCTGCAATTGCTGCTGCTGTTGCTGTGGCATAAAGAGATGAGTCTGATGATGGTGATGATGCGGAGATAGTTGCGGCTGATGATGTCCCTGCTGTTGGTGCAGGGGTGAATGTTGTTGGGATTGTTGTTGTTGCTGCTGCTGTTTGTTCTTTTTATGTTTCTTGTATTTGACCTTGTAAAGGTTATAGACTGCACCGCTGTTGCGACCGCCGGGCATGCGATCCTCGCGAACAGCTGGAAAGGAGAGAGAGAGATAGAAACATTAAATTTTGCTTTGTAGAGTGAGACGTGTGACGGTAGAGTTTTGCTTACCTTGCAGAACCATGCCTTGTTCAATGCATTTCTTGAAACGGCAATACTGACAACGGTTACGTTGAGCTTTGGTTATTTCACAGGTGCCATCTGCCACGCAGGTGTAGACCCGGCGATTTTGCACCGTGCGTTTGAAGAAACCTTTGCACCTGGACGAACACGAAGTGGGAGAGAGAATTGCTTATTAATACTCCTTAGGGAAATCTTCTTGTTCTTTACTTACCCTTCACATGTTATAATACCATAGTGCAAGCCCGTTGCCTTATCCTCACATATCATACACACCAGGGGCTGGTCATCCTCATCCGTTGGCTCGTGGGGGTTGTCCAAACCCCGTCCCAAGCCGGTGGTATTTGAGCTGCCACCACTACCCCAAGGCTGCTGGGCTGCACTTAGGTTAAGGGCATGCAGTTGACCCGGCGGCAATTGGGAATAGTCGCCGGCCCACAGACGTTCCATGTTCAGAGCATGAGGCGTACGAAATGCATGTGGCGGCCGTGGCCGATTATCTTGAATGCGTGTCTGGCCCAGAGAGAGCAGCAGCTGGGCTGCCTCTTCATTGTTTTGCGGCGAAGGTCCTGGCGTATGCGTTGGTGTTAGAGATCCGGCTGATGGGGAGGAGGCTGTGTTCAGCGATGATTGTGATGAATGGTGTGACTGAGACTGCAGTGATGATGGCGGTCCACCGCCACCTCCCATTTGCTGATGCGTTAGATGATGCTGACCATGGTGATGTGAGTTGGGCGACTGACTCGCCGATCCTGCCGATGACGATGGAGCCGCTGGCTCATAGCCCCAGACCATGGTCCGGACACCACAACTTTCACCCATTATAACGGTTGGTGTGCCGCGCGGGGGAGTTTGTGATGGTGTCTGGGGGGACAGTTGTGACGTTGAGGAGGCCGACGACGAAGAATGATGCGGTGAGGGCGATTGTCCAGGCCCTCCCGGCCGTATGCTGCCCATGGGACCACCAATCACCTCCGGTTTCACACCATTTATGCGGGCATTCGATACCCAGACCATGCGCTGGGCTGCTGCTGCTGCCACTGCTGCAGCTCCAGGCTGCATTAGCTGAGGCAAACCTGCAGCCGCCGCTGCTGCCGCCGCCACCTGTTGCTGGACTTCGTTTTTGACACGAAATAAAATGGCTGCATCACGATTTGGATGTCTCAGCGATTGCAGAGAAGCTGGGTGCATCAGGGCCTGGGCCATATTGCCCAAGGCTTGAGGAGGCAGTTGGGGTGGTGGAGGACCCTGCTGTGGCGACGACTGTTGATTGGGCGATGCCTGTTGCATAAAATGCGGTGAGTGGTGTCGCTGGGGACCGCCATTGCCTCCATTGCCAAAGCCCGTTATATGGTTCTGCATGGCGGAGGGTTCCTTTTTGATGCGCATATGCTGGGCCGCCACATTCTGTTGCTGCTGCTGCTGGTGCTGTTGCATCAGATGCTGTTGTGGTGACTTGGAGGATGAGTGTCTTGAGCTGGGCGACATCGAGGCACTGGGCGACATCTCCCGTGTGGCTGGATTGTTTTGTCTGGACATGGCAGCGGCCTGTTGCAACAACTGCAGCTGCTGTTGTTGCGTCAGATGTTGCATGGACTGCGTCAGTAGGTGATGATGTTGTGGAGGAAACTGTAAATCATGAGGCGGACTATTTTTTCTCAGCTGCGGCTGGGTCAGCTGCTGATGCAGGTGATGTGTTGTGACAATGGGAGGAGGGGGATTTTGTTGTTGCTGCTGCTGTTGCTGATGATGATGCTGCTGTTGCTGCAGCAGACTGCTTGGTGTATTGTGAGAGGAGGCATTAGGATTACCAGGCAGTGGTGAGGGCGACAGCGTTGTGGTCGATGCACTAACAGCTGCGGAATATGGCGAATGTGGTGGTTGTGGCGGTTGGGGTTCAGACTTAATACGTGATGGTGTCACCAAGACGGTGACATGCTGTTGAGACTGTGTGGGTGTTTTACAACCCTGCTGCTGCTGCTGTTGTTGTTGTTGTTGCTGCTGATGGTAGGCCAGCATTCGAGTTGGCGATGCCAATATGCGTTCCTCCTTCACCGAACGTATAACACTCATACTGCTGTTGGGGTTTGTGCTGCCGCCACTGTGCATGCCATTGGCAGACATCAGCAGTGATGAACTGCTTGTTGTTGTTGTTGTCGTTGGCTTATCATCCATGGAATCGGGTGAGGCTCGACTACTGCCACCACCATTACTGGTACTGCTACTGGCATTGCCATTATTGTGAGGCGGTGTGGGTGTGGCCCGATTACTGGAGGGCGTCCTTCGTTCCGCACTATCCGCAGCTGCCATTTCTGTGCTCATGGGCGGTGATGTTCGAACGGGAGCAGGTGGTGTCATCATATTGCTGGCGGCCGTAGACGAGGCCGACATGCCACACGATGAATGGATTTCAGTCTGTTCTTGACGTTGTTGTTGCTGCTGCTGCTGCTGTTGCAATTGTTGCTGTAGCTGTTCATTTTTAACAGCAACGACCGCCGCAACAGCTTTTGCTGTTGCCACCACAACCTCGGCAGCAACTTGATGCTGAGGCAAGGCAGAGCTCGAACAGGTGGCAGGTGTTGTACTGGTGGTTGAGGTTAGAGTTGTGGTGGCAGTCAGTGTTACCAATGACATGGAGGCGGCCACGCTGCTACCAACTCCACCGCCACCACCACCCCCTCCCGAATCACACATTTTGGGTGACATGGGCGCCAAAAGATCCGGTGATGAGGTTGAGGTATCTGCTACTGATTCACCATCACTGCTGCATCTTGAATCGATTTTACGTCGTTTCAGTTTTAGATCCTGAAAAAGGCTCATTTTATCGAGCTCGCTGTAGGGGCCACGGCTCAGTGTCATAATTCCTGGAAAAAAAGAGAAGAAGAGCGGAAATGTTAATGGGGCATAAAATCAAGACAAAGTTTTTGTAAAGAATTGGTTTTCAATGGGGAGGAATGAAAAAATGAAGCGTATATAAATATATATAGGTATGTTAGTAATAGTTTATTATTTTTCAAACTGTGGCTAATGCGGATAATGACGCCAAAATTGAGATCCCCCTATTTTCGGTATTTTGATGATTCTAGCGACATTATTCATCGGAATTGTTTCATATTTGGTATTTGAAGTTCGATACGAATATTATGACCTATGACAGAAAATTGTCTGTGCAGGTCCACGTCTTCGTATAGCCTCCATATAACGGTACCTCCCGATATTCGGTATTTTGAGGATTTTAGCGACATTATTTACCGGAATTATTTCAAATTTGTTATTTGAAGTTCGCAATGGATACTATAGACTATGACAGAAAATTATGCGTGCAGGTCCACGTCTTCGTATAGCCTCCATATAACGGTACCTCCCGATATTCGGTATTTTGAGGATTTTAGCGACATTATTTACCGGAATTATTTTAAATTTGTTATTTGAAGTTCGCAATGGATACTATAGACTATGACAGAAAATTATCCGTGCAGGTCCACGTCTTCGTATAGCCTCCATATAACGGTACCTCCCGATATTCGGTATTTTGCTGATTTTAGCCACATTATCCACCGGAATTTTTTCAAATTTGTTATTTGAAGTTCGCAATGGATACTATAGACTATGACAGAAAATTATGCGTGCAGGTCCACGTCTTCGTATAGCCTCCATATAACGGTACCTCCCGATATTCGGTATTTTGATGATTTTAGCGACAATATTCACCAGAATTGTTTCAAATTTGGTATTTGAAGTTCGTAATGGATAATACAGTCTAACACAGAAAATTGTCTAGGCAGGTCCATGTCTTCGTATAGCCTCCATATAGCGGTACCTCCCCATTATCGGTACTTTGTTGTTTTTAGCGACATTATTCACCGGAATTGTTTCAAATTTGGTATTTGAAGTTCGTAATGGATACTATAGCCTATGAGAGAAAATCGTCCGTGCACGTCTTCGTATAGCCCCAATATAACGGTATCTCCCCATATTCGGTATTTTGATGATTTTAGCGACATTATTCATCGGAACTGTTCCAAATTTGTTATCTGAAGTTCGTAATATATACTAAAGCCTATGACAGAAAATTGTTTAGGCAAGTCCACGTCTTCGTATAGCCCCAATATAACGGTACCTCCCGATATTCGGTTTTTTGATGATTTTAGCGGCATTATTCACCGGAATTATTTCACATTTGGTATTTGAAGTTCGTAATTGATACTACAGCCTATGACAGAAAATTTTCTTTCCAGGTCCAAATCTTCGTATAGCCCCCATATAATGGTACCTCCCGATATTCGGTATTTTGATGATTTTAGCGACATTATTCAACGGAATTGTTGCAAATTTGGTATTTAGAGTTCGTAATGGATACTATAGCTTATGAGAGAAAATGGTCCGTGCACGTCTTCGTATAGCCTCAATATAACGGTACCTCCATATATTCGGTATTTTGATGATTTTAGCGACATTTTTCACCGGAATTGTTTTGAATTTGGTATTTGAAGTTCGTAATGGATACTACAGCCTATGACAGAAAATTGTCTGTGCAGGTTCACGTCTTCGGGAATTAGAGTGAATACCGAACCTAGTATTCGGGTCCATCTGGTCATCCGCCTACTATGACACATATTTCCCAAAATAAACACCTTTCTTATCCCAAAAAAAATGTTTGCAAATGTTTGTCATTCTTTTCCGCCGCTTTCTTGGGATTGCCTCATCATTTCCAATTCGGACAAGTAGCCTAACCACAGCAACAACAAGAAATAAAGTAAAAAAAATGCTGAACTCAAATCATATTGTTTGCTCATTTCATTCCATTTCTTTTATGTGTGCCACTATGGATTTTTTTTTCTGTGGATGGTATAAACGAATGTTTGGATAACAAATTTGGTCTAAGGGGTCTTTGAACTTTTCTTCTTTTCTTTTCTATAATTATCAATGTGGTTGTTGTTGTTGTTGCTGCTGCTGTTACTTTGGACGAATTAAGAAAGACCAGAAATATGTATTTCTTTCTATTTGTCTTTTTTTTTACTTTGTTGCTAGATGGAATGAAGATTTTTTTGGTTTGGTTTGGAGTGACTGACTTTTTGGAGTTGTGGAGAAATGTAAGACTGACGCACAAAATAACTCAAATGGAACGAAATAAATTTTGATAAGAGAAAGAAGAAATTTAAATGACAACATAAAAAATTAGGTTTCCCATTGGCTCTCGTTGGGCTAGAGAAACAAAGAAACGCACAATCAACATTTGTAGCGTCAAGCCAGATTTGGAGTTTGGTTATTGTTGGTGTTTTCTTGTGTCTTTCTCGCTGTCAGTAGTGAAAGTATGATGGATTATAATTGTTACCTACCTACCAAAACAAAAAGTTCCGTTCTTTTTGGTAGAGTAGGGAAAAAATGTTATACAGCTAGTATGACGTTAGAAATTACATATTTTGAAAGTTAATGACCCTAAAAATATATTCAGCATTGTTTGCAATATCAGAAATCGGCAGTAAATGGTACTTTTCGTAATTATAGCACATTCTCATATACTCTATACATAAAATACTCTCTCTCTCTCTATATATATATATATATATATATATATATATATATATATATATATATATATATATATATATATATATAAAATCATTGAATATACAGGGCGATATGAAAAAAATGCAACCAACTTCAGACTGCTGTCATTTCTAAGCCACTCATCCGACACCTGTTAAAATTATTCCAGTGACAGCTCATTATGTTGTTTACAAGCGTACAAAAGCATTTCGGTGAGAATTTTCCGGAAAAAAAGTTATTCGTAATAGAATTTAAGGGTGATAGTGTGATTTCTTTATATTTGGCTGGAAAACCACAAGTGGCTATCGTTAGAGCACTCCAGCATTTAAATATGAATAAATCTTTTGTGTCTCGTATCATCGCTTGTTACCGTGATACTGGTAGCGTAGCCCGACGTCAAGAAAGTGGACGCAAGAAAACAGCAACATCAGCAGAAATGGTTCGAAAAGTAAAGAAGCGACTTGATCGAAACCACTCGCGTGGCAGTGGCCGATAAATGGATCGTGAGCTAAAAATATCGGAATATTCCATTCGGCAAATATTGAAAAATGAACTCGGGGTAAAGCCATTGCTAAATTCTAAAAAGAGCAAGAACTTACACCGCAACAGAAAGAAAATAGACTCAAAAGAGTTGCTACGCTTGGCCGAAAGTGGTGAACTGCCCAATTTTCTCCGATGGGAAAACATTCGTTGTCCAGCAGTTTGTAAACAAGCAAAATGACCGTCACTATTTGCCAAAAAGGTCAGCTGAAAATGTGCACCTTCGGTTGGCTACCAGAAAGAACTCAAGCGCCGGCCATGGTGATGGTGTGGGCCGCCATAACAGCCGATGGTCGCTCTCTGCTCATATTAATCGACCCTGGCAATAGAATAAATGCCGAATATTATCGTGAAAATATTCTGAAGGGTGCATTAAAGCCTTGGTCACGCAAACATTTTGGCCGCAGACCTTGGACATACCAACAGGACTCAGCACGCGCCATCCAAGAATGGTTACAAAATGAGGTTCCTCGCTTCATTTCCAGCGCACAATGGCCACCAAAATCTCCGGATACTAATCCGTTGGACTATTGTGTCTGAAGTATTTTGGAAAGCAAGGTTGGCACTAAAAAAAAAAAAATACCAAAGTGTCGATCACCTCAAGCAAACGTTTCGCCGGGAATGGGCCAAAATACCGCAGCGCAACATTTGGGCAGAGTGTGACGGTTTCATTGGCCGTTTGAAGGCCATATTTCGTGCCAAAGGTGACCAATTCGAACAAATTTAAACTTATTTTAACATTTGATGCTATTTCCGACATTTTTTGCTTTCATTTAATAATAATTAAAAAAATGTAAAAATTATGGAGTTTTACATTGTTGCTGTTTTTTATCTCACCCTGTAATATATATCATGTGAGGCTGTTTGGGCTGTTGATATTACTATTATTGATACTATATTAGTGTGTAAGAATGTTTTCTGGATAATTTCCGACTTTTTTTGAGAGTATAACAGTTCTCGTAAAACTGTTATACACCAGAAAAAAGTGTTTTTGGAATATTTACAGGATAAAGAGATGCAACAAACACTTTTGCAGTAAATTGAACAAATATAACAGTTAGATGAAACTGTTATACAATATTATAATATGATATTTATATGATAAATATTATAATATGACATTTATTAATAGGTTAAAAATATATTGACATGCATTTTCTATGAGTATAACAGTATTTAAAAACTGTTATAACCTAAAGTATTCCAATAAATACAAATTATGATGGATAATGCTCTACGTCAGTAATACTCTATTTTTAAAACCATTGAATATGAGGGACTATTTGGGCTGTTGATATTACTATTAGTACGTAAGAATGTTTTAAGGATAATTTCCGATTTTTTTTGAGAGTATAACAGTTTTCGTAAGACTGTTATACACCAGAAAAAAGTGTGTGTTTGGAATATTTAATGGACAGACAGATACTACAAAAACTTTTGCAATAAATTTAACAAGTATAACAGTTAAATAAAACTGTTATACAAGGTTATAATATGTTATTAATTAAAAATATTACAATATAACATTTATTAATAGGTTAAAATATATTTCCTATTTAAAAACTGTTATAACATAAAGTATCCTTAAAAATAAAAATCCTGAAACTAGCCAAATGTACTATGTTATTAAAAACACATTTAGTTATTTCTGCCTATTTTAAATTTCTTCCAATCAATGAAAATATTCTAAACATTCCTCCAGACCATTTTCATCTAACTCATTTATTTCATACGTTTCATTTAATTTAATATTTGTCTAGCCACTATCTTTGTA